AGGGTGGAAGGACAGCGCAGGAGGGGAAGACCCTCTATGAGATGGATTGATTCGGTGACTGGGGTAATCGGGATGGGTGTGTCAGAGGCAGTGCAGTTGGCGCAGGATAGAGCAGGGTTTAGGGCTGTTGTGCATAGGGTCGCTATGAGTCGCAAACGACTGGACGGCACATAACAACAACAAACAACAATGCTTATTGCTGCTTTGCTCACAATAGCAAAGAGTTGGAAACAACCCAAGTGCCCATCAACAAATGAATGGATAGAGAAGCTCTGGTATATTCACACAGTGAAATACCATGCTGCATTGAAAAACAAGGAACTCATGAAAAATTATAAAAAAATGGGTGACCCTGGAGGACATTATGCTGAGTGAAATATCTCAGTCACAAAAGGACAAATACTGCATAGTGCCACTGTTGTAAAGCGGGTCTGACATCGGGGTTGGTGGTAACCTAAGAAAAGAGGGGATAAATAATGTATACTGCATTGAAACAGATGAGGGAGAAAAACTGTTTAAAAGGAATATAGGATTACGTATTATTTTCATGACAAGATTACAGAAAAAGAAATGCATAGTAAAGTGGACTGTGGACTTGGGAGGGGATTGTATCACGATGAAATTTTTTTTTTCTTTTCAAAGAGAAAAACGAACTGGAGAGGGAGGGGTGGGCAGGGAGGAAAATATGCGATGAATGAATGAGGGGAAAATGAAATGGAAAGAATATGCTGTAAAAGATGAATATGTTGCATTAAAAATCACGAATAATAAAAAAAGGGGAATAAAAAAAAAACTGAAAAAAAAATCCCTTGGCCCAACTTTTAAATATAAGTGTCTGGTGGCCCTAGTGGCAAGAAGCTGCACTGCAATACCAGATGCTCGAGGTTCGAATCCACCAGATGATTTGCTGGAGAAGGAGGGGCAATCTCCTCCTGTACCAGTCAGATTCGATTTGACAGTACACACACGAGAAATAATAAAATAATAATAATAATAATAATCATCATCATCATCCCTCCAGGAGGTCCTGACTCTAAGTAGTGCCCTACTTGTGTGCATAATGCCCCAGGGTTTGTGCCCAGGAGCACGTGTGCCTTATACGGACCCCTAAGCATGTACCCTCAGGGCTCCTGAGCGTGCATCCACGAATGTATGTGGGCCTCTGAAAATATGCCCACGGCTTATGGATTATCCGTGCCTCCTAGAGGACGCGTGCCCAAGGATACTCGTGCGGCTCTGAGCAGCTGCCCACACGTGCAATTGACCTCCAAGCTGGGCCAATGGAACCCGCAAAGTCCCTGTCAACGGTGGAGGGAGAGTGGTGTCCACTTGCGCCCCCAAGCGGCCAATCACAGAACCGCCGTGCGTGCACCGCCCACACGCCCGTCGGCAGCCGCGCCTGCGCGCATCCGGCCTTTTACGACGCCGTAAAGCAGCTCGGCCGAGCGGGTGGCATCAGGTCTCGGTGAGTTCTGTACGCCCGCCGCCCCGTTTTGGGCCGGGCCTCGGCCGCGCCGCGACTCCCCCTTTCCTCCCTGCGGACCTAAGAGATCCTGTGCCAGGGTTTAGGCGTCCTCTAATCCGGCCCGACTGGTTTGGCCCACCTTGCAGGGAAAGGGCCGCGAAGGCGGTGGGGCTCCTCGGCTGACGTCGAGGGGCCTCGTTGCCTAGGGGACCCTCGAGGTTCCGGTTCTTAATGCAGCTCGGCCCCCCACCCCCATCGTCAGTGAGGGATTCCCCATCCTGTCCCACCTGGACCCCGGACCCTGCATGGAACCGCTGCACCCCGGGGCGGGGGCGTCCTCCGACCCTGCCCCTGTCTGTGTGCTTGGGCGCGGTTCTCAGCTCCTGACCCCACCGGGTTGAGGGCTGTGTCTCGGCGTCCCTGGGGTCCTCGATCCTCCGTCCCCGCTGCAGGACTCCCGTGCACCCGCCCCCTATGCCTTCCCTCCATGCTCAGCTGTGGCTGCTCTTGGGAGCTCGAGGGGAGGGATCGCGGTGCCCCCTTCCTGAAACCCCCTCCGTCTGGTTTCTAACTGGGTGAGCATGAGGGGGAGGCGGCTTCCCAGGACCTTCTTTCCCATCTTTGTAGAAAAGGGGCCGCTTTCTGCGTGACGGATCGGTGCTGCCTGCAGCGCACAGGGTTGGGAGGACGGCGCTAGGTGGCCTCCACCCCTCTTGGTGTTGGTCCTGACTCCCCCCTCCTGTTCCTCGGGTTTACCCATGCCCCCCTCACAGCTCTCCATCCGTGTCCCCTTCCTGCCTTGCTTCTGACCAGCCCCCTCCCCCCCATCAGTTCTTGATCGGTTCCGCACAGGTGGCGGAGGAGGGGCTTGCAGGAGCGCTTTAGATCACCTGGTGCGTGTGGGTTGGTTTCCAGCGCCGCCTCCTGTGTCCCTCCCACTTTCCCTTTGCCCTGTTCCGTCTGTTTCCTTCCCGTCTCCACTGGGCATAGAAGCCCACCCTCTTCTATTTGCCTCTTGCTGCTAGATGTAATGGAGGCGCGCCTTATGCGCTGGCTGGGTGCCCCCTGTCCCATCTCTTCTTGTGGGAAATCAAGGCTTTAGGAAGCGCTGGTGGCCTAGTGGCAAGGAGCTGCGCTGCAATCCCTGAGGCACCCTGTTCGAAACCACCAGCTGCTCTGCTTTAGAAGGCTGGGCACTCCTCCGCGTGCGCTTAACTGCCTCTGAAAACCCACTGGAGGGTCAGCCATGGGTCGCTTCTGACTCTGGTATACAACAGTCCACAGCATTGTGTGCACGGGACGTCCCAGCTGACCCTTTCTGAACCCGTGCCTGGCCTCCCCTCCAGGGCACCTCCCTGCGGCCCCTGACACCGGTGTTTTTCTCTTCGTGTCATCCCGCAGGGTGGCGGCGGTATGGAGGCGCGCTTTACGCGCGGGAAATCTGCTCTCCTGGAGCGCGCCCTGGTGCGGCCACGCACGGAAGTGAGCCTGAGCGCGTTCGCCCTGCTCTTCTCCGAGCTGGTGCAGCACTGCCAGAGCCGCGTCTTCTCCGTCGCCGAGCTGCAGGCGCGCCTGGCCGCGCTGGGCCGCCAGGTGGGCGCACGCGTGCTCGACGCGCTGGTGGCGCGCGAGAAGGGCGCCCGGCGCGAGACCAAGGTGCTGGGCGCGCTGCTCTTCGTCAAAGGCGCCGTGTGGAAGGCGCTCTTTGGCAAGGAGGCCGACAAGCTGGAGCAGGCCAATGACGACGCGCGCACCTTCTACATCATCGAGCGCGAGCCGCTCATCAACACCTACATCTCGGTGCCCAAGGAGAACAGCACGCTCAACTGCGCCAGCTTCACGGCGGGCATCGTGGAGGCGGTGCTCACACACAGTGGCTTCCCCGCCAAGGTCACGGCGCACTGGCATAAGGGCACCACGCTCATGATCAAGTTCGAGGAGGCAGTCATCGCCCGAGACCGGGCCCTGGAGGGCCGCTGACACGCACCGCTGGAGATAAAGGATGCGAGCCCCTCTCCAGTGTGTCTTGTGTTTTCTGTGGGGTGGGGGGTATCCAGGACCTGCTTGCAGGACCTAGAGCCAGGTGAAAGCCGCAGGCGGAGGCTGAGGCGCAAACATGTTTCTAGTAGGAAGGGTGAAGCCCGGCTGCCCTGGGCTGTTGGGAGGGATTGACTTTTGGTGGCACTAAGAGCAGTGGAGAGTGACCTCACAGGTGCAGGAGCTGCTGGGGTCGGAAGGGAGAATTCTGACATGTTCTGGAATCAGAATTGGAAGCCGAGGCTAGCGAGGTGGGGCTAGGGCAGCTGGAAGTAGGCGCTGAGATAGACTTCTGTAGACCAGGGGTCTGAAATTTTTTTCTGTAAAGGACCCCATTTAAAGACAAATAAAAACCAGTAACTGAGGAGGCCAGTGTGGCCTCACGGCAGCCCCTGTGTGTGTCAGTGTGGAAATGTGCTCTGAGGGGTTGGAAGTGGCTTGGAGAAAGTGCAGCCAGAGTGCTCCTTGGAGGCAAAGATGGCGAATTTGGGGATGTTGCTAGATGTGGGACATCGTGGTAGGGTGAGCAAAAGAGAGGAGGGCACCCAGTGAGATGGACTGACACTGTGACTGCAGCAATGGGCTCAAGTGTGTCAGAGATGATGAGATGGCACAGGATGGGACAGGATTCAGGTCTGTCCATCGGGTAGCTATGAGTTGAACTTGACCCGATGTAGGTTGCCACGCCTTTCCTCCAAGGTTCCTCTTGGTGAACTTAACCTCTGACTTGCTAGCTTGCCGCTGATGTCCACGGTCTGCACCACTCAGCACTCCACAGGGCCGGCTGGTTTACTCTCTGAGCAGCTGTAAACAGTTCCCCTTGGCTGTTTGCTCAGGGCCATGAACCAGCAGCATCTGCAGCTTATGAGCCTGGGCCTGAGCTGGTGGGCGAGCTGTGGGCCCTGGGGTAGTTAAACGTTAGTATGGAATTCCAGGGAAGGGTCTGGGGTCAGAGGACATCTGACCTGGGGCCTGTCCCTGAAGGCCCAGCTTTGTGCTCTGTTCGGAGCTCTCCCCCACCTGAGCTCTGGCCAGGTCCCAGGACATAAGGCCCCACATCAGCCTCGCCCTGGATTCCCAGGGCCTGCCTCATAGGTCTGTCTTAATGGAGCATCCCACTTGTGTGGACTCTGGAGACCGGGGACCAAGGAGAGTTGCAACACTGTTAGACGTCTCTGTAGGGGGCAGAGGCACAGCCAATGACTGATGAAGTATAATGACTTTCCCCTGCATCAGATGCCTGGCTGACCTTGACTAAGCCTGAGATGAGTGCACCTGAGCCTGCCAGATGCCCCACATCTGACTGGATGTCTTCCCATCCCTCTGCATGTCCCACATCTGACCAGGTGTCTGCCCAGCCATCTGCACGCCCCTCTAGGCTGGCTCGTACGTGCCCATCGCCTCCTGGGTCCAGGCTTTGATCTTCTGTTGGCTCAAACCTCTCCCCCAAATCCTGTGAATGAGAGGCTGCGAGGGTCCACTCCCTTACCCTTGACATTTCTGGGGCATCTGAAACCTCTGGCCCACTAATCTCCAGTCTTAAATCTCTAGGTCGCACCAAGTGACTGTTGTGGTTTGTGAGCAAGTGGGAAAATGAGGGTGAATTCACCCCAGTGCCTGCCTCTTTGCTGCCTCTGGCATTGGTCTCCACAGACCCACCCCCACGGTTCATGGTTCAGGCTTGTAGGAGGGGCCCTCACCCTGTGTAGTGGATGCAGGCAGCTAGGGGTGGGAGTGTGCCTGAGCCTTGGGGTCTCTGCCTGTGGTACCCTCTGAGGGTCATCCCCCAGGAAAAGGGAGAGGGATGGGGGTCCCTGAGCGCACGCACGCGCACACACACACACAAATACACAAATCTGAGGGAGGGATAAAGGCCTGGGCTAGTGGTGCTGCCCCCTATGGGCTGAGAGTGTCACTGAGGGAGCTTGGAGGGACAGGTACCTCTAAAAGTCCTGGCACTCAGTTTCTGAAAAATCAGTCCTTGAAAACCATTCGGAGCCTGGGTCTGCTCTGGCACATGTGGGGCCACCGTGAGTTAGAACCGACTCAGTGGCAACTGGTTTGGAATTTCGACCATAAGAAATACAACGAGTGGCGATAAGGACCTCTGAAGGTTGTAAGTGCAACTCGGGCCCAGCTAGTCTGATTCCTTCTAGGGCTTCCCCCACAGCCTGGTGTCTGCCCACGATCCTGGGCATCCCTTGGCGCATAGACTGTCCCTTGTGTGACGTCTGTCTCCTTGTGTACATGTCTGTGGCCTGTTTGCTCTTTTTGCAACTCAGAACGGGGCAGAGTGAGGACCCATCATGCTTTGCATACCTCACCAAGGGCAACCAAGAGCCGCATCTCCAAACAGTGACACCGCGAGGCATAAGACTTTAGTACATATCTTGGGGTGGGGTCATAATTCAGTTATAACAGGTGCCTGGTGCCAGGCGGAGAGAACACGTCCTCAGGCCCTAGTTAGGGCCCAGGACATCCTGCTCTCGGTGGCTCTGGCCATTGTCACAGGTGTGAAGGAGGCAGGGCAGGGGAGGAGGCCATACGGTGATGTCCTGGGGCAGGTCCGAGTGGCGCTGAGACCTGTGGCGGGGAGCCATCAGCAGGTGGCCAGCCGCTCGCACACCCAGCTGTTGAGCTTGCTGCGACAGTAAGCATCGTTCCAGTGCCCGGAGGGGCCGAGCATCATCACGCAGTTCTCGCCCTGGGCTTGGTTGTTGGGCTCCCCTGGCCGCCAGTTGCTGAAGCAAACGCTGCAGTCAGGGGAGGGGTGGGGGAAGACACCCCATCTCCCAGCCTCATCCCTTGCAGCTTAGACACCCCGTCTGAAGTCTAGGCCTTGGAGACCCTCCAAACTCTGTGACCCCCACCCCCACCCCACCAGCTCCGTAGAGCCCAGAGATGCTCCCCGCTTCCACTGTCAGCCGAGTCTTGGTGGCCCAGCCCTGTTTCCCAGATTCAGGCCTGGCCCAGGGCCCCCAGATTTTTCTCCCCTTGTCGCAGAGCAAGGAGCCCCAGTTAAGCTCAAAGGTTGGCTGCTCAGCTGCTAATTGAATGATTGGCTGTCCTGTGAGAGAGAAGACCTGGCGATTTGCTCCCGTAAAGGTAACAGGAAAACCCCATGGGGTAGTCTCCCTCTGTCACATGGGGTCACAAGTTGCAGCACCCAGAAACATGGCAGAACCATTCCTCGAGTCCTTCCCCAACCTCTCCTATATCACCTTCCAGAGAATCCAGCCCCATTTGCCCCACCCTGCACCTGCAGCCTGGGTACCCTTATTTCCAGTCAGAGCTCCCTCCTTCCCCCATAGCCCCACTCTTTGACTTGCACCCCATAATCTCCCCTCTCTGAGCCTTGACCCTCTTCCCCTGGGCCTTATCCAGGGGGTTCCTCCCTCTGAGAAGTTCCCACCCCTCATCTGTGTTCCAGTTGTCCCAGAGGCCCTCTCTCCTCACCTGTAGTCCACAGAGCTCCCATCCAACCAAGTAAACACACCCTCCTCATCCAGGTCCTGAAGGCCAGTCCAGGAGCCCTCTTTGTTGGCGTGGCTGCTCAGAAAGGCCTGGGAGACGGGGTCGGGCTGGAGGACTGGGGGACAGGCCTGGGTCCCTCTCTCCCATCCTCCACACCCCTGCCCCTGTACCACACCCTCTGCACAGCCCTAGGCTCACCTGCTCCTCTGAGCTGTGGATACTGACCAGCCGCCCATGCAGGTCCTCGCACGCGTACTTAGCCTGGAGCCACGTCTGGGCACCCTCACCAAAATAATAGCACTTCTTCTGGAAATTGACCCACTTCTCCAGGCATGTGTTGCACACAGAGCCTGGGGAGGAGGAGAGGCTTAGGCGCAGCTCAGATGCGGACCAAGGTCAGCACCATGGTTGAATGAATGGTAGTGTCTCCTGAAATGGTTCCTGGGACCAGGGCAGAGGTATCCCCTGTATGCCCAGGGGATAACAGAGGGTCCCATAGGCTCGCTTCTTCCTGGTACTCCCACGATGACACGCCGGCTTTGTGACTGGCAGCACTTAACCACCAGCACTAGCACTGCAAACACTTATAGTCAGGAGTACCTCAGTCCCAAACGCCATTGCTATAAACACCTCATAGCAGCATCTCAACTACCATCATCATCACCACATACACCATCATGATCAGGAATACCTCTACCACCAACACCATTACCATGAACACAGCTATTGTCAGGAACACCTCAACCCTAAATACCATCACTATAAACACCTCATAGCAGCATCTCAACCACCAACATCATTACCACGTACACCATCATGATCAGGAACACTGCAACCACCAACACCATCACCACAAACATGACTGTGGTCAGGAGCACCTCAGCCACCAACATCACCATAAATGCTACTGCTGTCAGGAACACCCTGACCACAAATACCATCACCACAAACATCCTTATGGTTAGGAACATCACAGCAACCACCAGCACCATCACTATAAACACCTCATAGCCACATCTCAATCACCAACACCTCACCACAAACATATCAGGAACACCTCACCTACCAACACCATCACCACAGCTACTGTTAGTAACACCTCAACCCCAAACACCGTTACTAGAAACACCTCATCACCAACATCACCACATACACCACCATGATCAAGAACACCTCTACCACCAACACCATCACCACAAACACAGCTACTGTCAGGAACACCTCAACCACCAACACCATCACCACAAACATAACTGTGGTCAGGAACACCTCAACCACAAATATCATCACTATAAACACCTCATAGTAGCATCTCAACCACTAACATCATCACCACATACACCATCATGATCAGGAATACCTCTACCACCAACACCATCAAGACGAACACAGCTATTGTCAGGAACACCTCATCCCCAAATACAATCACTATAAACACCTCATAGCAGCATCTCAACCACCACATCATTACCACGGTCATGATCAGGAACACTGCAGCCACCAACACCATCACCACAAACATGACTGTGGTCAGGAGCACCTCAGCCACCAACACCACCATAAACGCTACTGCTGTCAGGATCACCCTGACCACAAATACCATCACCACAAACATCCTTATGGTCAGGAACATCACAACAACCACCAGCACCATCACTATAAACACCTCAAAGCCGCATCTCAATCACCAACACCTCACCACATACACATCATGATCAGGAACACCTCAGCCACCATCATCACCACAGGCACAACTGTGGTCAGGAACACCTCAACTACAAATACCATCGCTAGAAACACCTCATCACCAACATCATCACCACATACACCATCATGATCAGGAACACCTCTACCACCAACACCATCACCACAAACACTGCTATTGTCAAGAACACCTCAGCGACCAACACTATCATCAAATGCGTCATAGCAATCAACACTTCAGTTAAGCATCAACACTATGCACTATTGCGGGATTGACTCTCTTGACATTGAAAATGGGTTTTCTTCTAGCGATGTGTAAGGGGATATCATGTTGTTGCTGCTCTGTGCCATCGAGTCACCAGTGACTCAGAGTGACCCTATGTACAATAGCTCTGAATAGCTTTGGTGAAATTATCCCAAGGGGCCTGGCGTCCACAGTAATTTTAGAGGCCCTTAGGAGAGCTGAGCTGGGTGCTTCTTTGCACATAAAATAGTATATGACTCGCTGAGGGTACAATGTTCCAACAGCAAAAAATTGTCCCTGAGAAGATTGACTTGAGGCAAGATGTTCTGGCTATGTGTCATGCAGTCAAGAGACAACATGAGAGCTACACACAGCAGAACCCGAGTCATAGGCCAGATTGGATGCATTTGGATTAGGCTGTGGGCGAAGAATTTGAATACACAACTAACTGCCAGAGGCACCGTCTTGGAGGGAGTGAGGCTCGAATTCTCGTTAGAAGAGAGGATGGTGAGATTCTGTCTCAGGTGATTTGGACATGATATCAGAAGGCCCAGTGCCTGGAGAAGGCATCGCATTTGGTAAAAGGGTTAGCAGAAGGAGGAAGACTCTCAACGGGATGGGTTGGTACAGTGGCTTCAACGGGAGCGCAGACACAGCAAGGATTTAAAGGATGGGACAAGACGGGAGTGTTTTTTTCTGTTGTACTTGGAGCTTTATGTTGTTGCTGTGCACCGCTGAGTCAGAACTGACTCACAGCTGATCCTCCAGCGGGTTTTCAGAAGCAGTAAACTGCACAGGAGGAGATTACCCATCTTTCCCCTATGGGGCAGATGATGGATTAGAACTGTGTGCCTTTGGGTTGGCAGAGCAACTCCTTACCACATAGTCACCAGAGCTCACTGGGGTCGTAATGAGTCAGAACCAATTCGGTAGCATCTAACAACAGTATCAACAACAGCATAGAATGAATAGGAAACAGGAAGTGACCTATTGTAAGACCATCACCATCCAGACCCATAACCTCTTTTGAGAGACCACATGGGATTTTTCCCTGGGATTCCCGCAGCCGGACCGTGTCCCGAGGGACAGGACTCCTTTACGCCAAGTGGAGATCCTTCCTTTTCTCTTACCCATTTGCCGAAACTGGGGATTCCCAGAGGAGGAAGGCCAAAACCCAAGGGGCGGAACGGCAGGAAGCTCGAGAAGCCAAAGAGGAACTCGAGTACCCAGACTGCTGGCCCAGTGAAGGTGCAATGGGGGTGTCTGCTCCTGCTGCAAGCCTGCTGCTTGCCAGGTGCCACCGACGTGATCTCACACCTCCAGCCCCACCAGCTCCACCACTGCCATGCACACATATATAGCAGAACACGTTGTTACACACACCTCTCCTGCACATTCAAAGCACACACGCCTTTGTGTCCCACCAAACAAGCCAGCTGGTTTCGAGTCAGTGTCGGCTCATGGCGACCCCAAGCGTGGCCAAGTGGAACTGCTCCTCAGGCTCTCTTGACGGTCATCTTTACAGAAGCAGGTTGCCAGCCCTTTCTTCCTCAGCACCCCACGCGTGGGTTCACACGACCAACCTTTAGGTTGGCAGTGGAGCACAGTTTGCACCAGCTCACATCCAGCACACACACACGTATTGCCAGGCTGCAAGGCGCCTCATACACTTGCTGTCACACACATGTGCTAACACACAGATACCTCCACACACACCCCGTTGTACATGCAAACACACTCACCGTTCAAAATCTTCAGCTCCATCCACAGCTTCGCCACCTCCTCCTGGAGCCTCTCCAGTGAGTCTGAGGCTTCCTGCCTCTCGTTCAGAGCTTGGATGGGCGAGGCAGGGGTCAGTACTCAGAAATGACTTCATAGACACCCCCCTCTGCCATCCCCACCTCCTATTCCCCTCTCAAGCCTCACTCTTGGATTTGAGGTTGCTCAGGTCATTTCCAAGTTCCCTCAGGTACTGGAAGAACTCGGATTCTGTGGTGGGGAGGACAGGACGCATCTCAGGGCTGGTGCATAAGGCTGGAGAGTCCCCAACCCTCGTCCTAGCCCCACAGCGCCCCCTGGCCCCATAACCCTGATCAGATCTCTCACCAAGAGACTTCATGCTTTTCTGTTCAGCCTGCAGTTCTCCTATGTTCTTCAACATCTGGGCAGCTGGTTGTAGGCAGCACTCAGTGTTAGAAAGTCCTGGGTCCCTGTTTTCCTCCACTCACCCCCTTGTGGATATTCAGGCCCACTGCCTCATTTCAGAACCCATGATAATGGGAGACAACCCCTAGTCCCCACCCCCACCCTAGCTCCAGGCCCCACCCTTAGGGTCACTCACTCTGGGATTTCTGGGCCATCTGGCTGCTCTTGTGTCTTCCTAAGTCTTTGGAAACTTGAGACACTAGGGAAGCAAAAGACATGTCCTTTGGGACCATGAAGGCAGGTTTTTGGACCTCTGCCCCTTCCGTAGTGCACAGGCTTCTGCTTTCAGGCTTTTGGGAAAAATGCTCAGAAAAGTACAGACAAGGTGAGCATGGAACGTGTGTTCTTGTCTCCTCATGACGTGGGCTGAAGATTCAAACTTGTTGGCACTTACTGAAAGCCAGGCACTGTTCTCAGTGCATCACTAATCCCAACACTAAAAGGATGCCCATTTCACAGACGGGTCTGTTCTGATCCGATGGTACTCAACAACAACCAACAGCATAGATGAGTGCTAACTTCTGTAACATCTATGTTGTTGTTGTTGTTTACCATCGGATCAATCAGACCCGTGGCTGAACCTCCAGTGGGTTTTCAGAGGCAGTAAATCGCCTGGGAGGAGCCTGCCTATCTTCCTCCTGGGGAGCAGCTGATGGATTTGAACCACATGCCTTTGGCTTGGCAGTATAGCTCCTTATCACTAAGCCACCAGAGCATTCCATCAGAGCCTTCCCCTCTAATCCTCTTGGGTGGGGGACAACACAGGCTGATCCTCAGCTTGTAGAGGGACACTGAGGCCCAGAGAGAGATCTCTCTTCCCCCCAGGATCACAGCAATCGGTAGCAGGAAAGGGCTAGAGCCTGTTGCCCCGGCCCTCCACCCTCAGCCCCTCTATACCATTCTGGATGGCAGTTCCTTCCAGCTGCTTCAGGTTGCGTGCAGTGTCCCAGTCTGGGGAGGGGAAGAGAAGAAAGAGGGCTTGTCAGGGGCCACTGTCCCCGCCCCACCTACCAGCAGAGGATAGAGACCATGGGTATAACCCAGCAGAAGTGCTGAAAAGATTCTGGGCAGGGCTGGGGCTCCAGAGGGTCGAGCAATAAGGAGTCAGCAAGGTCAAGGGCAAGGACACACTGGGAAATTGGGTTCCCATAGGTGTGCTGGGCTTCCTGAGTCTGAAAGGGGGTGCTGAGAGGACATATAGTAGGGCCCCGTGGGATGAGGGGACATGAGGGCTGGGGGTGGGGGTGTCCTTACGCCACAGCAACAGGAGAGCCAGCAGCACAGCCCACAGTGAAGTGGTCATCAGTCCCAACAGGACGATCTGGGTTCCCCGCCTACAGCATCGCTTCCTCCGGGGCTCATCAATGTCTGCAGGAGAGTGCAGGGTGAGTCCAGGCTCTGCCATCTGACCACCCCCAGAGCCTGCCTGAGCCGACACTGAAGCAGAGGGTCTCAGGGGACCTCTGACTCCTTTGCACACCTCCCCTGTAAACTACTGTCCTTTGGTCTACCTGTCCCTTCTCTATCTGACTGTCTGCTGCATGGCCATCTGTTCCTCTGACCTTTTTGCTCCACCTCTACATCTGTGCATACCTGAGTCTGTCTCTCCCCTGTCCCTCTGTCTGTCCAGCTCACTGTCTGTCACTCATTCTGCACACACTCCAGCAGGCAACCAGTTCCGAGTCACTGCCCACAAGAACAGGATGGGAACAGGGACTGAGCCCTCTCTCCCTTGGGGTTCCGTTGCAGATGGCTGACTCTTACACTTCACATCTAAATCTTCCTCCCTTTTGGGGGTACAGTTATCCCCATCAGTTCGGGGTCCCCAGGATCACCTCTAGACGATCTGTCTTCCTCACCTTTCCCCCTTCCAGCCCCTGTGCTTCTCTTCTATACCCAGGGCCTGTGTCCTCCCCCAAGCCCCTGCTCCAATCACGGGATGACACTGGGCCTGAGGATTTCCCACATCTGAGCTCCTCTCCGGCCCCTTCCTCATGTCACGTACTGCCAGGCCTCACCCCCCAACACTAGCCTCCAGCCTCTACCTTCATGCCCTGGGCCAGCGCCTGGCCCTGTCCCCTCATCCTGGCTTTGGGGATCCATCAGCGAATTCCTCCTGCTCCTCTGGCCTCCGACTCTATGGGGCTTCCAGCACCTCGGCTGGGTCAGTTTTTTTGTCAGGAGGGTGTTGAGTCAGAGCAGGGAGGGGCCCTCAGTGCCCCTCTCCCGCTTGGCTTCATTTTGGGAACGTCAGCTCTGCTCTCCTCCCCTCATCTGGGATTTTCCTAAAAATTCACCCTGATTCCCAGAGAGAGGCATGGGCATCCCTCATCTCCCCAGTGGAAGGCAGGGGGGTCAGGGTCATTGTTCCTGCCAATGTCAGGGCCAGTGAGCTCTCTGACCTGTGTAAGGTCTTTCCTCCATCGCACTTCTGCTTGCACTCTTCTGGTGACAGGGCACTCACCACCTGATGGGGCTGTCCAGATGGTGGTCACAGCTGTGGCTGAGATCTGGGTTGGAAAGAGGGTTAGGGCTGTAGTCATTATCAGGACTGCAGAGTCCTCTCCTTCCTCTCCCAGAATGGCTACTGAGAGAATCCAATCATGGGAAACAGCAGCTGTGCTTTTTCTCTCTGTGAAACTACCCTACTCCCCTTTCCCCAGGAATAGCTATTTGAGACCCCAGCCCACTTCCCTGTCTTGAAGGAAGCATCTGCAAGCATCCCCTTCCCCAAGTCCCTTGTAAGAGAGTATAAAATCTGCCTCTAACTTTTAGTGGGGGCCGGTCTTCTGCTTAAGAGCCAGCCCGGCAGTTTCTCCTCAATAAACTATCTTTCTTGGCCTGCACTGGGTTCTGTCCTTTCTCGGCCACCTTCCAGTAACCAACACAGAACAGCATCTGGGGTTGGGGGCTCTGTGACTGCTCATGTGAGCACTTGAGCCCATGACCTGGATCAGTTTACAATAATTTGTCCACATCATATGGCAGCTGGGACTTGAAACCAGGCCCTTGACCTTGGCACCTGTTCAACCACCCAGGATGCTGCTTCCTGATGGGCTGCTGGCTGGCAAAAAGCTGGCCCAGCATAGTCTGGATGGCCAGGCAATCTTCCCTAGCCACCCCTATGGCCTTCGCTGGCTCCCGAGGACCCTCTGTCACCATGCTCCACCCCCAGCTTCCCCTCATACATCCTCTATGTTGTCTGTTTGGTCAGGTCAGATGGTGACTTCCACTTCCCCAGACCATGTCCCCATACCCTCTTAATGCTGCTCCACCCACCTCCCCTCTCTGACTGTGCACCCCTCTTGGACACCTCTCAACTCAATCTAGCCTTCAACGTCCACTTCCCACCTCCAGCCCCAACATCCACACCCAGATACACAGACACATACATGTGCGCACACACAAATATACAAGTAATACATGCACAGTTACATGTTCACACAAATGAACACACAAACACACAAACACGTATGTGTGCACACACACACGCATGTGTGCATGCAAAGACACAGATTCGCACATGTGCACACACCGATCTAATCACACATACACACAGCCATGCATGTGCACACAGGCATACAGACACATACATGTGAAGACACAGGTACACAGTCATCCACACGAACCCACAAACAAGCATATCACACATAGAGTCATGTAAACACACATATGCACAGCCACATACATGCATACACATAGTAAAAGTGCACATGCATGCAGTCACACACATGCACAGGCATGCACATATGCGTACACACAGACATACACACATGAAGGCACACACATGACCACACACAGACACACAGATGCACACACGTGCACACACATGCACACAATACAGCCACACATGCACACATTTTCACATATTCACACATATGTACACACAGACATACATGTGCTCACACAGATACACCTAGTCAAGCGTGCACGCACAGTTACATATAAACACAGACATATACAGACAAGTGTGCAAGTGCAGACAGCACATAGACACATATGCACCCACAGCCACATGTTCACATATGTGCACACTCAAACACACAAAGACATACACAGACATGTGTGCACATACAGCTACATATCCACACATATGAACCCACAGTCACATGTTTGTGCACAGACACGTGCACAGAGGAGTAGATTCATGGTCACACATGTACACACAGTTACATGTTCACACATACAGTCATGTGGACACACATTCACACAAAATTACACGGGTGTACACATGGGCACACTGATGTTCACACACAGGCACAGAGTTCCACACGTGTACATACACACTTGCACACTCACACTGTTCTAAGCCTGTTGCTGTCCTCCTGTACAGGTGGGGCCCAGTGGATGGCGGACAGGTGAGCAGGGGCTGAGCAGGTAGGTCCTGGAGGCTGAGGTGAGGAGTTTCAGCAGGAGGCTAGCTTTCTTCTGAAAGTCAGCCACTAACTGATTCTATTCTCAGAGTTCTAATTAGGTGCTTGCCGCGGGTGACTGCGCTCCACGCACCACCTGGTTCCTCTGTGTTCTCTGTAACCTGGGGAAGTCCCCCACTATTATTATCACCTTTTCTTAGGTAAGCAAACGGAGGCTGGGAGAGGTCAAGCCACATTTCTGAAGTGCTGGAGGAGGTAAGGAGTGGAGGATAGGAATCTAAACCAAGGAGACCGTGGACTAGATCTTCAGACAACAGCGAAGGAAGGAGTCCAGAGAGAAAGCTACACGGATAGCATGAGGTCAGATAAGGGCAATTTTTAATCTTTTTTTTTGAAAGCTAATGAAGCTTTATTAAAGGGTCTCCGGCGGGCGGGCAGGATTCCTTAGTCTGCAGAGAGAGAAACAGTCAGAGGGACAGATCAGGGAAATACCCTCCCCTAAGATGGATTAGGGCAGATTTTATATTAAGGGTCTTTAGGGAGGGAATGAGGGACATTCCATCGTGGTTTAACCAGGTGGGTGGTCTTCTAGGAAGGGAGGGAGGGGCACTCCATGGTAGTTGAGGCTGTTCACTCCCTTTGTTGATATGTTGATATTGCTTGAATCCTTTGTTCTCCTTTTGACCTTGGTCCTGGACCAGTAGCCAGGGGAGAATATGGATGCCACAGCAGCTGGTTCAAGTTGGTCATTTCTTTTATCCTTTTGCCATCTTGACATTGTGCGAGCTGAAACATTGAAGAGAGAGAGAAAGTGAAGGGCACCACACTCACCCCAAAAGAGGGCAGGGGCACAACACACCTCAACTCCTCTCCTGGATTTCACGCACCACCAGGATGTTAGGTGTTCGCACTGGATGTAATTACGGCCAAGGACTCAAGGAAGGGACCAGAGAAAGAAAGAAAGCTAAAGAAGCTTTATTAAGGGGTCTCTCAGGTTGGATTCCTTGATCTGCAGAGAGATAAGGGCAATTTTGTACATCCAGCTTTGTGTTCTGAAGCACAGAAAGGATAAGTAGTTTGCCCAAGGTCACACAGCTCATACATAGCAGAGCTGTGAATTTGAATCTAGGCAGTGTGGATTCTGTGTCTGCACCCCAAACCACTCTGTACCTGTTATGTTGTTACTGTCACGTATGCTCAAATCAGAACTGATTCATAGCTGACCCTCCAGCAGGAGATAGCCTGTCCTCCTCCCGTGGAAAGGCTAGTGGATTAGAACTGAGCACCTTTGGATTGGCAGTGCAACATCTTACCATTAAGCTATCAGAGCTCTGTACTTAGCTTTGGATAGTCAGGGACCCCTGGGCACATCACCCCTGGTCTTTGCTCTCAGATGGGGAGTCTCCTTCTGAACCCCATTTTTGAATGTAGGCACCACCTCTGTACCTTGGGCTTGTTGCCCTGCCTTTCCACATTCACCTGTGTCTCCAAGTCCCACTTTTCACACTGGATGGGGCTGGGCCATCCCCTGAGGACAGACGTCCATCCCCACCATGGCAGGCAGGTCCAGGCTGCCTCATCTGTGAGGCTGCATTAGGGGTTGGATTGTGTCCTCCCACTAAACACGGTGAAGTCTTGACCCCTGTACGTTTGAACATGACCCTGCTTGGAAAGAGGGTTGGTCTTTGAGAGGTTGTGGGACTAGTTAGTATAAGGTTGACACTAGAGTCCAGTGAGTCTGTTGATGGGGCCTTGTGTGTTGCTAGGAAGTGACACATATTTCAGTACAACTTCTAGACTAAGACAGACTAGGAAGAAAGGACTGGCAACTGACTTCTGAATATCAGCCAAGAAAACTCTCTGATCACAGCGGTCTTCGCTGAAAGCTCTCATGAGGATGGCCCAGGACTTGCTGTGTCCTATTCCATTGTGTGAAGGGGTGACCTGAAGTCAGCCAAGTCAACATCATCAAAGATAGCTGTTTACTAGGCCTGGGAAACTGCTCTCATTGGGGAGAAAGACCAGATAGACAAATGCAATTTGGGGAACAAGCTGGGAAGGGCAGGGAGGCTCCCCCAGAAGAAGGGTACAGGAGCCTTGGGGAGGGGATGGGCTCTGCTGGGTGTTCCTTCCTGTCTGATTCGAACACTTCACCCTCAAGTGTCTTACCCCTTAGTGTCCTCTTCTGGGGCTTTTCCACCTGGAAGTCTCCCAGTCCCCTGGCCCCCAGGGGAAATTCCCATTGTTCTCTCTTGCATGCAAGGAGTCTTCCCTAGAAGCCCCAGGTCCCAGGAGGGATTGTGCCCCTCTAGCCTCAATCTACCCTTAGCTGTGTGGCCAAGTCTCTGATCCTTTCAGGGTTTCAGCTTACCCAGAGGAGGACACCCCTGGACTTCTGTCCCCATTTGCCCTGGAAGACCCCTTGCCAGTGTGGAGGGGAATAGGAAGTCTGAAGAACTAGGATGACAGCTGATATGACTCAGGGTGAGTGGGGTAGGTGTGGGACACACACACACACACACACACACACACACACACACCCATCACCACTATTCTCAGGGTCAAATACAGAGGCACACGTAGAAAGGTACAACACAACCAAACCAGAGACAAATAGAAGACATAGGCATAACATAGACACACACACACACACACACACACA